CACAAATTATTATTATTATTATTATTATTATTATTATTATTATTATTATTTATTAAGGGAGGAAAGAACACAGATTTATTTATTTAATTAAAATTTAATGATTGTATTGAAAATTGAGTCATTCCCCCCTCCCCCCTTCTTTTCCTTATACTCATTTTCAATTGATAATAAAACAAATATTAAATAGGTAACAAATGTGCGATAAAATATATTAAAATCGTCGATAAATGCCAAAAACCCTCCTCTCACCCCACCCCACCCTCCTCCTCGTAAGGAGGTATTTATTAAACGAGCGTACAAAAAATTATTATTATTATTATTATTATTAATGAGAGATTTCAGAGAGAGAAAAAACAAAAACAAAAAAAAAAAAAATTTTTTTTTTTGAGATCGATTGTATACAACAACAAAAAAAAAATAATAATTGAACGTTTAATAAAAAAATTTTTTTTTTTTTTTTGGGAGTCGATCGAAGAACACCTTTGGTGTTGTTATTATTATTATTATTATTATTATTATTATTATTATTATTATTATAAAATCTATTTAAAATATATAAAATTTTTTGCTTTCTTTTTAAAACAATTCTGCAAATCATATAAACAATTGATCACAAATTATTATGACGTATATATATAATAATAATAATAATAAAAAATTAAACATAAACGAGTTTCGGTAACATAAATAATTAATCAATCAATCAATCAATCACTACTTTTTATAATCATTCGGAACTCGGATATGAAATTTTACTTATTATAAATAAATTTATTTATTTATTTATTTTAAATATTTAATTAATATTAATAAAAAAAAAAAAAAACTTCGATCAACTATTTTGAAAAAAAAAAAAAAAAAAATTCTTATTATAGATATTAAAATAATAATAATAATAATAATAATAATAATCGATTCAAATAAAAATAAATAATATTTGCATCATCATCATCATCATCATCACATTACATAAAAAAAAAAAAAATTACAATTTTTTTTTTATTAAATTTAATTTAGCTCTTCATTTAAGTCAAGTTTTTTGCTGAAAAATCTTAAAAACTAATCAGTCGCATTATTGGGCAAATGAAGAGCTAAAATTAATTAATGCAATTTAATTGGGCCCTGACTGATTGTTTGGAGCTATATTTAATAATAATAATAATAATCAATAATATTTTGATTCATTTTATATATATAAAAAAAAAAAAAAAAAAAAAGAAAAAAAAAACTTAAATTTTTTAAATATCATATTTTTGTGTTCTTTCAGAATTAAATTTTTTTTTTTTCTTTTCTTTTCTTTTCTTTCAATTTTTTTTTTTTTTAATTCGAACCCGATGGGTTTATTTAAAGAAGAAAAAAAAAAATTAAAAAAAAAAAATGTCCTAACGCGGAATTAATTGTTAATTAATCGGTGATAAATTATTATGTGGCTGACTTAAAAACATTGGCAGTGGTTTATTACTCGCCCCATGGACTGGTTTGCACATCACAGAATCAGATGAATTTTCTACTGCGTTTCCCTTTGTCGGAGCTCCAGGATTCGAAGAATCATCGTATCCAGAATCTGATGATGAATCGCTGTAGACTTTATCCTTTTTAATCGGCCTCGAGTCGTAGTCCATTTGCTGAGCGGGTGAAAGAGAAGCTTGTCGTGCAGATTTTGACTCTCTGCAACCCTGGCATGGTTTTAACAGTCGTGGATCTACCATAACCATTCCGTGAGGTCCGGTAAATATAGTACCGCAACAGACTTTTTTCCTTTGAAAAAAAACAACAAAAGGTTTAAAATGTTAAAGATGGACAACCTCTTAAAAATCTCCTCATTAGATTTCATACTAACTTTTTCCAAAAATCCAAATCTACAAAACCACTAGAAACGGGAGAATGAGAGCGTCGGTGTTTGTCTTCTTTCAAATGTAACGGACTTTTAGGCCTTTTTCTTGATGCTTTCGGAATACATTCTTCGCTTTGTACGGGACTACACGGACGACTTGAATTAACGCTTAAACCGCTCAAATCTGAACTTAATTCGTCACTCGGAGCCGGAGAAATTTCTCGTACTTCGGCTTTTAACTTTGGTTTTTTCTTATTTTTATTTTTCGCTTTGAATTTGGCCAAGGATTTCGTTCCGGGTCCGGCTCGGGCATCGACGACGTGTCTCCAATTCCTGTCGCTACCATCCGGTAATTTTTTCCATCTTTTAACTAATAAAACGCACGCATTGCAAATCTCTCCCGTTCTCCTTTCGCCCAACTGAAAGCATTCCATCAAATCTTCTTCGTATTTTCTGCTGTCTGTGAACCTGCTGCTGCTCGATTTCGCTTTGCAAATGCAACAACCCGTTGTGGACCTATAAACCTTGGGTTTATGAAAACTGAACATTTTCTTTTTTGATTTTTTTCGTATTCCGTCAATCAATCAATCAGAAACCTGAAAATAAAATAAATGAAATTAAATTTATCACACGCATTCCATATAACCTTAATTTACCTCCATCATCTTTTTCACTTATCACTTTTTCTCTTTTTCACATCTAAAACAAAATAAAAAAAAAGAAAAAAATCACACTTTCATTGTGTAAAACACATTTATATTGTTTTCATTAATAAACATGCATGTGAATCCTTGCCTACTTTAATAAAAGGTAAATAAACAAAGTTAATAAAACGGTAAATCGTCACGATCCACTTTGCAAATGAATCCTAACCATACCCAATCTACACTTTGGAATCAAAACATTTTCATTATGCAATATTTTCGCTTACTTTAGAATAATACAACAAGTATCCAAAACTTTTTTTTTTTTTTTTTAAATCATTGTTACTGATGTAAAAAAAAAAAAAAAAAAAAAAAGGACAAATGACGACAATAGAGTAATAATTTTTTTTTTTTATACTCGTTCGTATTTGATTTTTAATCTAGACTTTTAGGCTAGCTACCAACAATTACCCTAAATGTAAAGAGAGCCTAAAAATAATAATTTTAATTTTAATTTTCAAACTGTGTTTTTTTAATATTATAAGCCTACATGAATGTCCTAGTTTACTTGTAACGACTTTGATTAAGGTACTAATTGAAAGTGTTTTTGAATAAAAAAAAAAGTGTCAAAGTGACAACACGAACAAAAAAAGTAACAAACTTTCGAGAAAACCCAATAAAACAGGCAAAGGGGTACCAGTAGTCTATCACTCTGCTCCACGAGGATCACTAAGGTAATGACCGCTTAAGCTAATGACCGTCCTTGAGAAATGAATCTTCTAGAAAAGAAGAAAACGGTTTTGTTTTAAGGAAACGCATGCGTCACGCACATGCGTCTCACCATCCTCCAGCTAATAGTTTATCTTGATTAAGATGTATGAGGCGTTTACATCTCTAACTTAATAAGATGCATCATATTTATATAATGCAATATCGCACGTCAATATATGAAAATTTAAATAAAGGCATTGCTTTAAGGTATATATATGTAAAAAAAAAAAAACCTAAAAACCTGTCAGAGGCCACATAATAATAATAGATTAAGATTAATTTTTTTTTTTTATAAATAAAATAAAATTCAGGTAATTTTTGTCTGTTTTTTAACTTAAAAACGAAACAAAAACTATTATATTTATTAGGACCGACATCATTTTCGTTTGTTCGAACCTTCAAAACCACTTTCACCTAAATCGTACACGGGTTTACATTTTCGACAAAAAATTTCTAGTCGAATCTACTACAACGCACAATTAATTTACAAGAACGAAAGTGATGCGATACGTCAGTCAAAAAGTAACAAATACAAACAACAATATTTTTTTGTAATATGTCGATTTTCCCTATCACCGTTTCTTTCTTTCAATTATTTCTAGACCTTTTTCTTAAAATCTTTCCGTAGATATATGTACGCCATTTGTAAATGGTTTTTATCTGCCATTTATCTGCATTGCAAGTAAAAACGACTCTCGATTATTTATTTCGAAGAGGCTTATT